CATTCTTTTTTTTCGGAGAATTTTTCAACAGCTCGAGATACTGAAAGTAATTTGGTAACCAGTCCAATGAATACGATAAACGAGGGGGCTTTTCAAAAGTTTGCGTGCTAGAACTGTGTATGTGACTTCACGACACCACGGTGAAAAACCGAACATCTTCTGTTCCCCAATCTTACCTTCTTTAGGCGCATTATGAATGCTGCATCATTGCTCGCTCTCATAATGTCATGGCCTTCCAAGAACTACAGATCACACTCACTAACCACTATCTATCAACACCTTTTGATGGGCAGCTGGATAAGAATGGGCTGAAGAGTCCCATATGCAAAAACCTGCAAAAACCACTAACTTCTCTCATCACATTTTTCTTCACAATCAGGCAAAACCTAGAAAACTCTCATCCCTAAAAGAAGGGGGAGGGGGAGGAGGGAGACGTAAGATTTCACAACATGCCAACTTCGGCTGCCCACTCACAGAAAAAAAAATCAATTCTGCAACATTTTAACCTTGCAATTGGACGAAGGTAAGATACATTGTGTCAGAAGCCCAAACTTCTATCAGCTTATGCATGATCCCTTGGTCCGCTTCCAATTGCTACAAGCTTCCAATTTTGCATGCAACTTGTGGTCTTACAGTTTTATTATTCGTAGAATTACTTGGTCATTACCTTTTTACATGATGCTGAAACGTGTGCATAGTAAGCATATTTTTGTAGGTCAAAGCTGTGGTTGTTGCCTGATTCTAGTTCCTATACCTATACAGTACAGAATTAAGTGACTTAAACTTTACACAACAAAAACATCCTTGAAAGAATGCAATATTCTATGTGCTTTCAAAAAATATAAGTTTAAGAGGCAACACAACCACTTTCAATATCACTCTTAGAATAAAACCTAGCAGCGTGACATCTTGTACTTGCCAACCTAACAGAACGGTTCAAATCATGAAAATATCCCACCTTATCCTTGAACAAAATTTTCCAGTACGCTAGTGCTGTTTCCAAATCGAGATTCCGTTGACTGCTCAATTTTCCGTAAAGAAAAGTAAACGTGTAAAGTTCACGAAACGCATTCGGTTCAGAAAGCTCCGTGTCAAGCTCTTGTAGACGTTCTCGGAGCTTATCCAAAGAATCCACTCTTAAAAACTAGATTATGACCGTTATTAGCCAACAAAGTTGCGACTTTTCTTTTGTAGAAGAAATGAAGATGAAATACTGAATTTTCAATACATACCAAGTACATTACTAAAAAAAACTAAAGCACCGTTAAAAAAAACAAAATTGGAAAAAATTGAATATCTGACCTTAGTGATGATAATCCCTGCTGCCATTCCTCCCAACTAAATTCACACTGTGTTTGAGCCTTAAAAGGACAACTAAAAAAGGAAAAAAGTTTGAGAAAACCCAGATCTATGATTTGCTTCAAGTACGATATAAAACTGAATTAGTTCGACTCAACTTAAAAAGATATCTGAGTACCTTGAGTTTGCAAGCGAGTATGAGAACGCGGCGATCAGTTGGATCCAAATGAAGGTCATTGAGAAGACGGAGCATACCATTGGGACCAATACGCCCAGAACCAACATCGTCACGAGGGTCTATAAAAGTTCAGAATTAAATGCATGGAGAACATAATGGAATCGTGTATGAGGAACCGTTAGCATAAACCGAAAACATTTTCTCGAGTTTGTATTTATCAACAGGGGGTTGGTGTTGCTGCTGTTGTACCATTCGTGGAGTCTGCAAAAGATTCGAACTTAACTTACTAGATACTGAACAAAGAATATGAGATATAGTCAATGCAAACCGTTTGCAATTAAGCTTCGTATTATTTTCTGGAAATCGGATGCTCTAAAATGTCTAAATCAAACGTAACCTACTTCAAAAACTCGGTTGTGTCTGTTCCTCCGAGGCCGACCGGAAGCCGTATCGTCCCTAGTGTCGCAAAATGCGATGCGCTTAGAATATCTCCATACAAGTCGGGCAACCCTTATGACGCTTAAAGCGCAAGACGGATCGGCCACTGCGGCGTGTTTGCGTTGCAGCAAAGAGATAACAGCCAGAATTTAGCCCAGCTTCTAACTCTGCCGCCCTTTCTTTTCCAGGTTCGATTTGATTTCCTTCAGTAAGTGACTTAGCGTTGTCAGTAGTCGACTGCTTGTGAAAGTGCCTCTGCGATGTGCGCTGCCATAGGAATGAGATTTTCAGTGATATTTATCTGAACACCCTCATACAAGTTTCCATGAATTTTTGCTGACTTCATGCTTTGTTGCAACGTTTTACTTTTATAGCAACTTCAAAGCCTAATGAAAGCTTTACCACCATTTTCATAGATTTCAACTCCTTTC